AGGGAAGGGGCAAATGGAAGATGAAGTCTGAGAGGGTGTGAGGAGCCAGATCCTGTAGAACCCTGTAGAATACTGCAATGATTAGACTTTTACTATGGGTGGAATGAGAACTCATCACTGAGAATTTTAAGTGGAGGGTTGACAGAAACCGATCTGTTTTAACGGGATCACTCTTGCCAAGGACAGAAACAGAAAGACTGGTTGAGAGGCTAATAATACAAGCAAGAGATGACAGTAGCTTGATCCAGAATGGTAGTAGTGGAGGTAGTGAACTGAGATTGGATTCTGTACATATTTTGAAATTAGAGCTGAGAAGATTCGCTGATGGACTGTGTGCAAGAAAGAAATCATTTGTGACTCAAAGGTTTCAGACTTGAATAACAAAAAAGGTGGAGTTGCTAATGACTAAAATAGAAAAGATGGTTTGGGGAGCAGATTGGGGGGAACAATCAGGAGGACTGACATAGAATTACAAATTCAATAAAACAGGATGAAACATCAAGTCAATGGATTTATCACAACTAATACAAGATGTGATGACTCAGAAAACCATAGAGTTTTACTATGTACTGGGGGTTAAGATGGCTCCATGCAAAAATGGACCTGCCTTAAATTCCTATGTCAGTCTAATTTAGCTATAAATGTGTTGTCATTAACACTAGATTATTATATGACACAGAAAATAAATAATAGTCTTATTTTTGTTAGTTATATTATACAGCTCCTTTCAAACTATTTCCAACAGAAAGCTGATGTTGATACCATTTGCGTGCGTGAGCAGAAGTGATGTCCATATAGACATCCTGACTATTGTAAGCATTTGCAAAAGTAAAGTCAACGTAAAAATACTAAAATGATTCTGTAGGGTTCCATAAAGAAAAATATAATCTTCACTCTCTGAACATTAATCCAGACTTTGGATAGTGGCCTTGTATATTTATATTTTTCTCTGCTCTCAGTGACAGATCAGTATAAAGTAATCATAGAAAATTGTATCCTATTCATTATGCTGAACAATTGCATCCACTGCTGCTGGGCTTGGGAACATTTGAACTATTTCTAATCATTTGCTTTGTGACAGAGATGATAGCAAAAAATCACAAATGGAAATGTTAAGTTACAGTAAAACTATTTATATATAGATGACTCAAATAAAAGCCCTTCTTCCAAACTAAATATTTCTTGTTTTAACCAGCTACCATTACG